AGGACTAAATTAGGTGGCCAAATATTATTCATAGATTTTGTGTCTTTTTATAACGAGATTTTGTTTCTTAATTCATTTCTTTTTTCCTTTTATGAAAGCATTAACTCCCTTTAAGTTGAGAGTTACGAAATAATGATCTACTGATTTTATATTAGAGATTATCAAGTTGACTTTGGAGCAATAGGGAACCGTGTGGGAATTTCTTAGATAAGTTTCGTTTACCGCTATAAATTAGAGTAAAAGACTTTTTCCCACCCAAGAAGATTATGTTTATAAAACTGTAGTATGAAAACAGGAAATTTGACTCAAATTTTCAATTGTTAAATGGTTTACATCATCATAGTTTGGTCAAAATTAAGCCTACTATTACCCTATTTGCTTACCTGATCCCAACAACAAGCATCGGGTGACTATTGGTAAATTGACTCCTCTCATCTCCTTAATTAGTTGGTTTATCTTATTAGCTATTGATTTGATGCAACCCAATTATTTAGAAATTTTTAATTAGTATTAAAATAATTACATTAAAAGGTAATATTATTTTTACTTGGGTTGGGGTTTGGTTGGGCCTAGTAGGCTTAGAAGGATATGTTACAGATCTTGATACCGTGGGCTACGCTGCTCGAGACAGAACTTTTTACATAATCCAGTCTCAACTATGCCCAAGCTTCCAAGATCATCAAAAGGAAATTTAATTAATCACACTAGAAAAAAAAAAATATATATATATCTTTTTCATATCAAGTTTTAATTTCTGTTGAAAATAAGTTAAAGAAGGCAAGTATAAGACATCAATTTTTGAAAAAATTTATTTGCTTTTGATTAATAGAAAACTATCAGTAATTTCAAGGAAAAAGCTTGCCATTAAAGAGGAGATGAAACCTTTACAAAAGGAAGGTGTAGCCTATTTTAGTTGAAGTCTTTTTTCTCCAATGGTTAATTAAGCATGCTTTCTCCAATAGTTTTTTCAGTTTAGATTTGTCACTCTCTTTACAAAGTTAGTACACGTGATGTGTATTTTAAAACTGGATCGGCCTAGCTGGTTCAGGGGGCTGTTGCTAGTGATTGGTGAGGCAAATGGGGGTGGGCTGGGGTGAGATGGGTTTTGGTAAGGAGGTTGAGGGGAGTGTTTTTGTGGTGACAGAGAGTGTTGTTGACGTCGAAAACAAGCCCTATTTAGCCTAGGTTGTTGAAGCTAATGATCTGCATGCATTTGGGATGTTTTTGTAGGATTTCAAACCTGTAGGGACTTATGTAATTATTATGGGTGTTTTTACTAGATTTTAAACTTTTGGGCACACTTACATCACTAGTTTGACCTATCGGTCAAATCAATTTAACCAGTCAACCTGGCAGGCGATCACTTTGTCAGGTTTCACCCTAAGCCAGGTTTTAAAACCTTGCACATGACATGTCCTAATATGCTGACATAAATTTGACTCTAGTTCACAGATAAAGTAACATGACAAAATATTGACTACAGAACTAGTATAGCACATCGAAATTTAACACAAACTATATATACCCTCTAATTATTTCTCGAATGTACTTATTTCCTTAAAAAAATAATCTAAATTGTACTAACATGTATGTATTTCTTTTTCAAGCATTTCGCAATTATTAAAAAAAAATAAAAAATTAAGGAATGTCCTTATTAATTTTTATTGAATGCTCCACGTTATACTTAATTCATATATATATTATTTTGTCTCTTGCAAACAAGTGAATAGAGGTGTTACACTAGCCAATAAATAACTATATCTTACATAACAACAATAATAGGTAAGTCAGCTTTTAATTTTATATCTCATTAATTTTTGTCTTTCTTAAACCATGATACATATTAACTTTGTTCTTTTTCTCCTCACATTGTATAACGTACATGAACAAAATTTAGTTTTATTTTTATAATGATATCTTTTAATTAGGTGTGAAAGTTGAGTCAAGTCACTCGTTCTCGGCTAATTAAATGCTCAACTTGGCTCAATTACAGTGTCGAGCCGAGTTCTAACACAATGCTAATCGGCTCGAAAAGCTCGTGAGCTTTAGCTAGCTCGAGGGTGCATTTGATAGTTTTGAAACTAAGAGGGAGTCATAAAATTTTATAGTTTTTAAATTGCAAATCCACCCATATTCAAATTATGTAAAAGTCGAATTGGATTTGGGGATTAAAAATTAAAAGGAAACCCTAAAATATAAAAACTCCCTCCTTCGCCTCCTCCTCGTCTTTGTGTGTAATCCAAGCGCATTCTTCCGATCAGGAAGTGTCTTTGAAATACTCTCTTTCTGCAGACATCTCTTAACCCACGCCATGTATTTGGGGCGCTCTTTTTCAATGCTCAAGCCGGACAAAATCTCATATGTGTGAAAATAACAGCAGTGAGGAACCAAACAAATATCCACGAACCCCAAGGTTTCACCTCCGAAGAATGGCTTTTCTCCATAATCTTAGTGGGTCTTGTGTGATTGAGTACTGTAAGAATAAATAAATATGTGAGAGTAGAAAAACTTGAGAAAGATTCAACTTTGTTTGTTGAATTCTTAATTGAGTTTTTAATAGATTTTCGATGGTTCTCTAATTTTTTTCAGTTTAGATTCGTCACTCTCTTTACAAAGTTAGTACACGTGATGTGTATTTTAAAACCCGACCCGGCCTAGCTGGTTCAACCAGCTCAACAGGGACTCAGAGCCTTCATCGGGCTACTTATCAATTTTAACTGTTCATAGCAAACCCTTGAGAGGAGGATGACAATCGGCGAGCACACAATGGCAGATGTTGGGGGTTTTACAGTGGAAGGGCCAATGAGTCCAAAGGTGGTGATGGAAGCGATTATCGATGAGTGAAACGACCGAAAAGAGAAAAATTCACGTGGCCACAATAGTGGACTGTTGCTAGTGATTGGTGAGGCAAATGGGGGTGGGCTGGGGTGAGATGGGTTTTGGTAAGGAGGTTGAGGGGAGTGTTTTCGTGGTGACGGAGAGTGTTGTTGACGCCGAAAACAAGCCCTATTTAGCCTAGGTTGTTGAAGCTAATGATCCGCATGCATTTGGGATGTTTTTGTAGGATTTCAAACCTGTAGGGACTTATGCAATTATTAGGGGCGTTTTTACTATATTTTAAACTTTTGGGCACACTGACATAACTAGTTTGACCTATCGGTCAAACCAATTTAACCAGTCAACCTGGCAGGCAATCACTTTATCAGGTTTCACCCTAAGCCAGGTTTTGGCCAAACGACTTGCGCATATCCAAGGTTTGCCGAAATGACAAGTTGGTACCCATAAGGTTTTAAAATGACAAACAGGTACCTTCTGTCATGTGCTGTTAGTGATTTCTGTTTGTTAATAGTGAAAAGACTAAAATGCCCTTGAAGTTTGATATTTTAGTTTTTTAAAAATTTCTAAAAAACCCCCTAGGTTTGCTAATTTAACTAAACACCCCCATCTATAAAAAGTTTGTTAAATGACAAAAACAACCCCACCAGCTGCGGCCAGATTCCGGCCACCACCACCGGAATCTGGTCGAAAATTGCGTTACGACATAGACCCCGTCGGATCTGTGTTGTAACGCGCCGATCTGGCCTTTTCCGGCTAGATCCGTGGTTGATCTGGTCGGAAAAGGCCAGATCTGGCCGTCGAGGCAGCAGATGGAGTTTTGCAGCCTCAACGGCCAGATTTGGCCTTTTTCGGCCAGATCCGTGGGTGATCTGGCCGGAAAAGGCCAGATCTATGGCTAGATCTGGCCATCGTGGCCGCAAAACTCTATTTGCGATGTCGACGGCCAGATCTGGCCGTAGATCTGGCCTTTTTCGGCTAGATCAGCCGCGGATCTGGCCGGAAAAGGCCAGATCGGCGTGTTACGACATAGATCCGACGGGGTCTGTGTCATAACGCAATTTTCGGCCAGATTCCAGTGGTGGTGGCCGGAATCTGGCCGCAGCTGGTGGGGGTATTTTTGTTATTTAACAAACTTTTTATATGGGGGTGTTTAGTTAAATTAGCAAACCTAGGGGGTTTTTTAGAAATTTTTAAAAAACTAAAATATCAAACTTCAAGGGCATTTTAGTCTTTTCACTGTTAACAAATAGAAATCACTAACAGCACATGACGGAAGGTACTTATTTGTTGTTTTAAAACCTTTTGGATACCAACTTGTCGTTTCGACAAACCTTGGTATGCGCAAGTCGTTTGGCCCCAAGTTTTAAAACCTTGCACATGACATGTCCTAATATGCTGACATAAATTTGACTCTAGTTCACAGATAAAGTAACATAAATATTGACTACAGAACTAGTATAACACATCGAAATTTAACACAAACTATATATACCCTCTAATTATTTCTCGAATGTACTTATTTCCTTAAAAAAATAATCTAAATTGTACTAACATGTATGTATTTCTTTTTCAAGCATTTCGCAATTATTTAAAAAAAAAGAAAAAATTAAGGAATGTCCTTATTAATTTTTATTGAATACTCCACGTGATACTTAATTCATATATATATTATTTTGTCTCTTGCAAACAACTGAATAGAGGTGTTACACTAGCCAATAAATAACTATATCTTACATAACAACAATAATAGGTAAGTCAGCTTTTAATTTTATATCTTATTAATTTTTGTCTTTCTTAAACCATGATACATATTAACTTTGTTCTTTTTCTCCTCACATTGTATAACGTTACATGAACAAAATTTAGTTTTATTTTTATAATGATATCTTTTAATTAGGGGTGAAAGTTGAGTCAAGCCGCTCCTGCTCGGCTAATTAAATGCTCAACTTGGCTCAATTACAGTGTCGAGCTGAGTTCTAACACAATGCTAATTGGCTCGAAAAGCTCATGAGCTTCAGCTAGCTTGAGGGTGCATTTGATAGTTTTGAAACTAAGAGGGAGTCATAAAATTTTATAGTTTTTAAATTGCAAATCCACCCATATTCAAATTATGTAAAAGTAGAATTGGATTTGGGGAATAAAAATTAAAAGAAACCCTAAAATATAAAAACTCCCTCCTTCGCCTTCTCCTCGTCTTTGTGTGTAATCCAAGCGCATTCTTCCGATCAGGAAGTGTCTTCGAAATACTCTCTTTCTGCAGACATCTCTTAACCCACGCCATGTATTTGGGGCGCTCTTTTTCAATGCTCAAGCCGGACAAAATCTCATATGTGTGAAAATAACAGTAGTGAGGAGCCAAACAAATATCCACGAAACCCAACGTTTCACCTCCGAAGAATGGCTTTTCTCCAAGCTCATCTTCCGATCTGTTCAGGATTTTAACGAATTCCCTCTTGGCTGCCTCCGGATTTTCATCTCTTGTTCTCCAGGTCTTCCTCCCAGCTTCAAACGCCTGCATTTTTTTTTTTGGCTACTATGTTTATTGAAATCTTTGATGGGAAATACAGTGATGGAGGGAGGATTTTGTTGTTGTGGGACTGGGCCCCAGTCACTGGGGTACCTTAAAAAAAAATTTTCAAATATTATTGTTCATGGAAATTTGTTTTTTTTTTTTTTCATTTATTAAATTTTGTTAATAAATCTTTAATTTTGTATTTATTTTTTGTGTTTGATAATAATAAAAATTATTTTTAGAATTAAAAATATTAACTAGAGTTGATCCCACTGGAATTTTTGGCAAATTTTAGATGGCAAATCTTTCATTGTCTGCTAGAATTTTTTCTGATTTTTTCAATCAGCTTGAGCTCGAATTCGAACTCGAGCTTGAAAACTCAAGTATCCCTTTAAAGTACCGAGTTCAAGTTTGAACTCGATTCTTCAGGATCGAACTCGAACTCGGTATTGTAGCATTCGAGCCAAGCTCGAGTATTCAGATACTTAACTCAACTCAACTCAATTTCACCTCTAGTTAGTTCTAATCATTGATCCCCAAGTTAATCTATTGTTCTTTCTTTGATTAAAAATTAAAATCCTAATTTCACCACTTATGTGGCAGAAATATTGTTGGATGCTTGGACAATTCACAACCATATTCAGAACATGGTGAGAGCTAGATAGGGCTATGGACCTCAATAAAATGAAATATTTCATGGTCAATATAAAACTTGTGGAGATTTGGAGATTACCTATGATTATCTTGAAAACCAACATGTGACGAACATGGGTTTTCCTAACCCAAAGATTGTTGTAAGGTAGGAATGATGTTATGTACTATTGTTCTTAGTCTTGTTTAAGTTTTTTTGAATCCTATCTCAAAGCATGTCCTATGGTAGGATGTCTTTGTCTTTATGTTCTTTTGCTTGCTCCTCTCTTCTTTGTCCTATCCTTCGCGTGCTTAAGATAGATAAACAAGAGGAGATTAGGTTTTCAGTGTATTACGCTTGTGATTTTGTTCCTTTCCCAAGATCTATCTTGAGGTAGGATGATCGTTTTTTTAATGACTTTTTTGTACATTTTTTCTCTCTTTTAATGGTACTACTTAAAAAAAAAAAAAGCTCATAACTCTTTTGATACTTTCCATAATTTTATAAACTCCTTTTTATATTGGTTACACCATGTTAATTCTTTTTTTATTACCATGCATATGCATGACAGCCACATTGTACTAGATTTTCCTTCTTGGAGGCGAATATCAATACCAGGATTCCCGGTATCGAACAAGATGCTTAAGTAAAATTTTATTCATCCAGTTTAAAATATAATTTTGATTCTCTTTGAGAGATTAGATTAGACTCTCCACTTGATGGTTCACTTCAGATTCTCTTTCAAAGAGCATTTTCATCCAGTCTTTCCTTGCCTGGAGCTTCATATTTCTGGGTTGCATCGATCCCGAGTGCCAAAAGAGGTGAGTGTTTCAAGCCCAGTTGTTTTCTAGTTTTATGGAGTTCTATTTTCTCAATTATTTTCGGACTGCTGCATGAATGTTTACCAGAAACATAGTGATTAATATTACTTAGCAGTACATAACTAAGATTTTTCTTGTTTCTATCCTACATAAGAAATTCGAAAGTAGGTTTAACAATATGCTATAGACATGGTTGCTAAGATTTCTCAGTAAAATAAATGAAAAAAGTATCCTAAATGCTGATAATTGATCTTAAGCACCCATTTGTTTCCAAGTATATGCATATTTCAAGATATTTATCTCCCATAGCGGCATTCCACTACAGATGAGTTAAGGCAGTAGTTATAGAAGATGATCCAATAAATGATTCAGTAGAGTGAGTTATATATATTTGTTTTGAAAGATAGGGTCTACATTGCATGAATAAATTTTTTTGTAATCTATTTGGGGGTTATTATCTCTGATTTCTTTAAATTAAAGTTTCATAAGTTATCGGCAAGACTTCCTTAATTATGTTAAGTAATTTTTATTGGAGCTTAATAGCAACACCAAGTTACATGGTAACTTAAAACTATTACGGCATATTCTTTGAGAAATGAAGATTGGGAATGGTTACTATAGAGGAGAGACAAGAGTTACAGGAAAAAGTCTTGGGTGGCATCCAATCATGAAATGGCAAAATTAGTCTACATTATGTTGGAAAGTTTAAATTATAATTGTCACACCCCCTCCCAGGTATCCTATCTCATTAGATCCAGGCGCTTCGAGGGACTCGGGATCCCAAGAGGAGGGTGAATATTTTTGAAAATGTTTTTCTTAATAATCCCTATAAATAAAACCTCATAATTAATCTCCATGTAAAATGTTCAATTACCCCTTATATTTTTAAAAATTTAAACAACCCCTATACTTTTAAATGCTTAAGTCAACTTTGTAAACTTTTAGATTCATAAACCCCCCAAAAACTCTGAAAACATGATAGTTTCCCCCCTTCAGAATATAGGAGTCTAATTCAAGAAGGGGGACATTCCCTAAGGCCCAAACGGAAAGAATTAAAAGGGTTTACAAAAGAAACTGGGCCTCATTAATAAGTTAATAGGCCAGCCCACTATATATAACAAATTCAAAAACCAACAAAATAACTGGGCCATATTAATAAGTTAATAGGCCAACCCACCATATATAAGAAATCCAATACCCAAACAATATCTCTTCCCCAAAATTTCCAATTTCCAATGAACACGATACAAAACAAAATTCTAGCAGGTCAATGATAGTAAACTTAAAATTTTCCAGCATCATTTCAAATTAAGGGTCAGCGAATACAAACATAAACAGATGTAAATTCCAGCAACACTTTAAATCAAAAGGGGCAGCCGATTACATGTAACTACAACTCCATATTTAAAAAAAAAAAAAAAAAAAAAAAATCACCACATGTATGCCATTTGTACTTCATCACTTAGCCAACAATTTACTCAGTTTCATATTTCCAATATATAATCAACTCTTCCATAGGCTAAATATATCAGAAAGACCAATATAGGGCAGTGACTAAAGTGTATGAATTAACCCATTCAAGCATGAATATTGAAAACATGAATTGTTTATTCAATACTAGTCCACTCACATCAATTTTAAAATGTCCCTTAAAGATTTTTACACTTCTAAATGTACTCAAGTCCTCCTACAAAACTTTAACAGTCCTACTAGATCTTATTTCTTACAAAAATGTTCCCAAAAAGTTTCAATTCTTACACATTACCCCCCAAATTCACATAAATAAAATTGAAAAAGAAATACGGGGTATTACAATAATGCTTTGATCCGATTAAATTTTAAAGTTCAACAAACTCCATCGTATGAAAGTCAGATTTATATTTTATTTAGTTGAAATGTGGAGATTCAAACCTATGACCTTAGGCTTTAAAACCATGTTCAACAACGGATAGTTTCAGCATTAATTTTATAACAACTGACCTGTAACCCTTAATCTACTCAACATCCGAAATTCAAAAATTCTATATGCATTTTCTTTTTCTTTTAAGCTCAACACTTAACAATTTTGATTAAATTTTGTTGTTTTCCTTGTATTTTCTATTTAATTAAGCATAAACAATGAACTACGCCTCATGCCATGGCAACCATTATAAATTTTACTTTATTTAGGATGAGGATTTTATTTTATAGATAGAACTAGGAGTTGGATGGAAGATGCAAAAGACTTACCAACAAAGAGTAGTCTTAATTTGAACTTGAAACAAGAATCATCCATCGAGTAAATGGTTGAATATTACATTTATCATACATATGAGCACTTTCTTACGCAAAAATCCAACTTTAGGGCTTTGAATATTTGAAAATTCATAGCTTATTGTGTTTGAATTTAAACTTATAGAACTAATGAATCTAGACATTGCCACAAAAATATCAAAATTTTCTCAAAAATAAACTGATACAAATGAACCATACCCAGAGTTTGATGGAAAATGCAAAAGACCTATACCTCCAGAGAATTTTTATTTTTTTTATCACTTGAAATTGACAAGGATCTTGTTCTTCAATATTTTTTTCTTTTTGCAAAGAGCTTCAGAGTAGATGGATGCTTATTTTTGGTTTTTGCCGCTGAAACAGCTAAATGATTTTTAGGTCCGAATAGATCCAAAGCACTTGGTCTTGGAACTCCAGGAGAAATCTCTTCAACCGTAGATTTGTCGTCATGAACAAACATGTATGTATTTCGCACTCCATTTCGAGGTTGTTCTTGTTCAACACCATCCCCATTAGCACCTGGTAGAGAACTAGACCTAAATGATGTTACGTCCAAAGAGATCCAAACCACTTGGTCTGTGAACTCCAGGAGAAATTCTTCAGCCGTAGAGTTATTTTTATGAACAAATATGTATGTGTTTCGCAATACATCGTTAAAATCTCAAATCTCAAATCTCACTTGCACTCTCACTTTAGGGTTTTTCTTCTTTCTTTTCTGTGATGAGCCATTGGAAATTTATAACAAAATCTCACTCGCTGAGAATTTTACAGGTAGTTTTCTGCACCGCGTTAGTCAATAGGCCGCGTTAGAATAAAAACTCTTATATTTCTCCCTATTATATATGTTTTATTTTTATTAGAATTTTCAACAAATACAGAGTCTAAATCATATATTAAACTTTACCTCAATCAAATTAATCTTATATCCGGCCACCATATTGGTTAATGTAGACTAATTAAACTTCTCCACTTTTCTACCTTAATCAACATTGGGAATATTTCATAAATTAATCCTTAAATTGCATTGCGAGTTTAGTGGTGTTAAGTGTAATTTTTCCTTTGTTCAATAAATTCCTTCCTTGAGGTCTAAAAAAAATAAAATAAAGGATTTCAGACCTTTTCCCGTCAACATTGTCTATAACAATTTTCTTTGCTGTTTCCCAAGCTGTTTATCATTTCTTTTTTCTGTAAGGAAACGAGATTTCCACACCGCCAGAGTGTGTTGATCTTTGTTATCTTTAAAAATTGTTAAGATGTGGACCTGATTGTAAATTTGACCTGTCTTTAGGGTGGATATGTTTTGCAATTTTTATTTAGAAGAAGACATATATTGTACATGGTTTTAAAACGGCAAGTCCGATCGGAATTCGGTAACACTGAATGGATAAAACTATTTAACCATTGGACAAGATTGACATGTGGTTCAACCAGTGGCTAATTGGATTACTAAAGTGCAATTTCAAAATTTCAATTTCAATTGATGCCTGTTGATGTCAGCATTTTTATAATTACTAGAGTTTTAAAATTTTATTATGTTATGCTGATGTCAGCATGACACCATCGGTCAAACTTGCCGATCAGACGGGTCAAGCCCAATCCGGATATAAAAACATTGACATATAAATAAATTAATTAATAAATTCTAAAATTATAACTACTCATAATGAGAAATATTTTGTGTCAAATAAATTTCTTGTAAATTCTCAATTGAAAAACTTGCAACTTTAGAGAAAGGAAAGAAAAAGAAAAAAAAAAATGCAAGCAATGTTTGCTGTAGTACGACAACTCGTGCTATATATATTCATATACCAAAACTTTTCAAAACAGAAGAAATATTGCAGTCAACAAATAGTTAATTTCAAAGTTATAAGAAATAGTTATATTTTACTAATTTTGTGTTAAGTGATATATAATCAGATATTGACTTGACTGAAGGACTGCGTTGGAAATTACTACTTAGATAAGTTAGAGACTAAGTTTTCGGTGGCCATAGCGCATAAATAAAGCACTAGAAATGTTTGACCTGGAAAATAATATACCAAGCTTCTTCTCATGGGCAAATAAATATTGTAAATTTTGTAGGTTCTCATTTTATAATGTCATGTAAGCTAGTTCAGATCACAAAAATCCTCTCATAATTTTAGGTACAATTTTCCTTAGCTACCTAATGGTCAGACCATGAAGTTATTTCTTTTACACCAAGAAATCGGTGTATTAGTTTTAAACAAAAGTTTTTTATTAGGTTTCTTTTTTTTTTTTTTTTTTTTGTTTGTTTACACCAGCTTTGTGTTTGCTGACATGGAAATTTACATGAATTGCCAACATGGATTTTGTTTTGTATACAAACAATCCATGATCTAATTCAACATCGTTTCTAAAACTTCAAGGAAATAGTTGAGAAACTACATAAAAAAAAGTTAGCCCAAATAATATGTTTTATAATTAAAAAAAATCTCATAAATAACTATTAATTGTGAAAAGTGGTAGATGAATTTATTAGGATATGTGTTAATTCGGAGTTAAGAGTGTAGAAGACTTCCTTTAATACTACAAAAGGGGGTTACCCTTAGCCATTTTGAATAAACCACCATTTTGAATAAACCAAATTTCAGAAGCAATATTAGTTCTCTCAAATTTGAGAAGCAGTAGTAATTCTCTCTTCAATCACTCCTCTCCTCTCAGCCATCTTAGGAAAGCTCATTTTCTAACAAAGTGATATCAAAACTATAAAGATCATGAAGACGGTAAGTGAGATGGTTTCCTTCCAAGTTCTAATGCTTAGCCAAAACATGGGAGATTGTGGAGAAAGGCTACAAGGAGCCTCAAGATGAGGTTGTCATCTCCCAAACTAACCTTGCAAGATAAGGAGGATGGTTACAACAATGAAAAAGGTCAACGTGGATGGTGGTATTTCTTAATATTTCTTCCTAAGCCTAATATAAAGCCCATATTTAACCTATGTATTTAGCTCAAATAATAGACCTTGTAATTAGAAAGATCTTATATAAAGATATCTTATTTATCAGGGAGTTGAAGAATTTGTGAAAATATATTATTTATTAGGAAGTTGTTAGATAACTATTAATGGTAGAAAGTGGTAGATGATATTTATTAGGGTAGGTGTTAGCTGGGAGTTGGAGCATAGAAGTCTCCCTTGAGCATTATAAAAGGGGGTGACCCCTAGCCATTTTGAACAAGCCAAATGTGAGAAGCAATGGTAATTCTCTCTTCAATCACTCTCCTCTCAATCATCTTAGTTAACCTTGAGTTAGAAAACTCCTTTTCCAACAGAATTTGATGTCTATACCAATTAATTTTCTCTTCTTTGAAGGAAATAAATGCAGAACTCTAAAACTATATAAGAAAATTAAAAGCCAACATAATATGGCTTGTGTAAATTATACAAGATCTCAGTTATAACTTGTGTTATTCTAGCTTCCAAGCTTTACCACCGTTCATGTTGAATTTCTTTAGCCTTCCAAGGAGCATGACAAGAATGAGTATCAATTTTCCACCATCACTCCATCTTCCAACAAATCCATACCAAGTGTCTTTGCATGAACTCTCAGGATGCAATTGCCGTTTACAACTGTACCCAGTGGTGAACCCAACATTCCCATATGCACTACAAGAAGGCATTTATTTTCCCTTTAGAAAATCTTAATTTTATATACATATATAAAAATTTATATTTCAAAATAATCTCTTCACCTTATAACTTCTACGATGATGTTTAACACATTGAAGTTGAGGGGGTCTTCCTTGATTTTTTGTCTCTCTGTGATGCAGACCAGGATGGTAGAGATGACTAAATAAGAAAGTTGTGAGAGTATCAGATTCTCAGCAAAACGCTTCTTTCCCTTTTTCTTGAGTTTGCCATTTTTTGAATCTGTTTTACGGTATCTTCTGGGTAAAAACGATGTATAGGGCGGGAGATACCTGAACAAAGCAGGAAAAAATAGTTATGATCTGTTTTTGTCATTTATTTGATATAAATTCTAATTGTTGGAGGACAATATTCTCTATAAAAAACTAATAATTTTAACGAGAGATTAGAGAAATTGATGTTTCTATTTTTAATATTTTGGTCAACGAGTTCAGATTAGATTAAACAAACAAACAATAATAAAAACAAAAACTTAGAAAGTGCTTTTTTTGGAGTATTTTGAATAACAATTTTCAGGTATATTCTTAAGACATTAATTTAAACCTGAGAATTTTTCTTTTCTTTTAAGAATTGAAAACATTAAATTGTATTATAATTTTGGAAAAATACTTCCCTAAATCATCAATCTAAAGTAAGATTTTGAAATTATCTTTCTAGGATAAACTCTCTCTTTATGGTCAAATGGCATGCCCTTTAGTAATTGGAGTTAACTATACTCATGAATCTTATGTTTAAGTTGTAGGAGAGACAATTATTGGGTTTACCAAAAAAAAAAAAAAAAAAAATTAGACTTAAACTTCTGAAGTATGAATAGAAAATTCTTTATGTACAAACTATTTACGCAGATTGATGTGTTTTTTAAGTGATAACACAAAAGAAAGGGTTCCAAGTTTACCCTTCAACATGTGGTATCCATGAATGGCCAAGAGAAGATGTGACAAAAGAAAGGGTTCAACATTATTTAACATATTAACATATACAAATCAGTAATTTTCTTTTCTACGCTTTTTATATTTACTTCTTGTGCTCATTGTCCTCAGAAGGGTATATAAGAAAGGGCCTCTGAAGGTTTCATACCAAAGTTTTACTAAGAATTACTTTCTAATTATATAAATTAAATTACTAAAAAGAAATATATATATATATTGTTGTTTTACAAACTTCTAATTTCATAGGTTAATCTTAACACCTATCATTTAAAAACTGTACATTAAAATTTAAAATATTGATTATCTACTGTATATTAAGCATGACACTTGCTAATTTAATTAAAAATCATATCATGAATTTCTAGAAGAAAACCAAGAACTTACATCATAAAAACGAAGAGCGTCATCATCGCTGGAGAAATTATGGAGAGATCAAACACAGATTCACCAGTATGCCTCGAATTAACCACTTGAAACAATGAAGCAACGAGTTTCTGATAGGCATTCATACCATCCATGGCTTCTGAATTCCATTCCGAGGCACAAAACAGCACAAACTGAAGAAATATGAACCCAAATGCCGTAACACCAAGAAGAGAAGAATAAACGCCAGATAGCATGTGGCGATAGCCAATCTCTTTGTAATTCTTCAACATGTATTCAAACTCCCCTTGGTTTGTCACCTTCTTCAAAACCCAGATGAGAAGTCGCAGGAAAGATGGATACAATGTGTTGCCAAGGACGACTTGTGGGATTAGAACCCAAAGGAGGCCTGGATTTTTATTAAAAACCATCATGTTTTCATTGGTAGGGACGAATCCAGAGTTTGAGAAGGTTGAAACAATTAAGAACACAGAAAACGTTAGCGTATGAAGGCCCTTGTTTTTTAGCACT